CATTGTTCTCCTACTCTGTTCTCCACACAGTGGCTTTTTACGCTCCTCAATAGATAAACAATGTGGCAAGCTGGTTCATGCCTTAGTGATTTTCCACAGGCTGCTTCCTTTGCCTGGAATGGCCCTGCCCACAGACCCATCTGGCAAACTCCTACTCACCCTTCAAGACCCAGTTCAAAGGGCTCCACTTCTGTGAAGACTTCCCAGTAGGCTCCAGTATAATGAGTCAGTTCCTCCCATGCACCATTCTATGTTATCTGTATCCCTCTCCTTGTATTGAGATTTCTTTACTTCACTTTTTCACTAGTTTGATTGTGGGGGCTTAGAGGGGAGAAACTATCATTCATATTTGTATTTCCAGCCCTAAGCATGGCATCTGGCATGGTAGGTGTCTATAAATATTTTGTATGAAGGAGCTAATGAGCAAAACTTATTTTGACTCCTTTCTTCTCATTTTAGAGTTAAAAAAAAGACCAGTATTGTCTCATAAATTTTGAAGAACATTAAGAAAACCACTCACCCAAAGAAAATAATTCCATTTTGCTTTTTTGTAGCCACCACAAGGTGGAACCTATGTAGTTCTACTGGGAACTCACCAGACCAATGTGGGTCTTTGACCTTGAGAAAGTAGAAGGAGCGAGGTAGGGCAAGGCAGTAGGGCTAGAGGGTCTGCCCAGCTTCCTTGGAGTCAAACTGCAGTAAGAGGGGTTTGCACATAAATGTTCCTGGCCCTGTTCTGACATGTATACACACGGGACTCATTTCATCCTCATAACAACCTGCTACTCTCCCCTTCCCCATTTTAGAGAAGAAGAAATGGAGGCACAGAGAGGTCAACTAGCTTGCTCACAATCAAGTGGCTAATAAATGGCAAGGCTGAGAGTCAAACCCAGGAAGTCTAGCTTGGGGATCTATTCTATATTAGCTCCATGAGCAAAAGATGGAGAGGGATGGTAATAATGGGAAGGATGGCTAGGGAGGAGGATAAAAAGGGAACCATGGATAGTTTAGGAATCTGCATGTACACACATTGTTTTGTTACAGGGCAGGGAGAGGGGCCCCAGGACCTGCCCACTCTAAATAGGTTCTGCCATCTGCCGCATTAAGATGAAACGTACTCTACTGTGTAAGACCTTTAATGCAAAGAAACTTTAATACAATTAGTGTACAACAAAGAAAAGACAAAGGGGGCCTTCCTGGTGGCACAGGGGTTAAAGACAGTGCTATCAAGCTATCCCCAGCCACTGTGGCATGAGTTTGATCCCTGGCCAGCCACATGGCTTGGCAGACCTCAGCTGGCTGCTCCCCTCAGCAGTGTATTTCAGTAGATCTGCCTGTTCTGCTCCCTACTCTGTCTCTGGTGAATCCTCTCACCCCCCACACCTCTGGCCTGTACCCCAGTTCTTCTTTTTTTTTAAAAAAAGATTTATTTATTTATGCATACAAGAGCTGGGGTACAGGCCAGAGATGAAAGGGGTGAGAGGATCCACCAGAGACAGAATGGGGAACAGAACAGGCAGACTGACTGAAATACACTGCTGAGGGGAGCAGTGGTGAGAAAGAAGAGGTCTGCTGCGCCATGTGGGTTTCTCCCTGGCCGGCCAGGGATCGAACTTGTGCTGCAGAGGCTGCGGATTGCTTCATAGTGCAGTGCTTAATCCCTTGCGCCACCAGGGAGGCCCTGTACCCCAGTTCTTGTACGCATAAATAAATCTTTTTTTAAAAAAGACAAATATAGGTTCAAACCAAGCACCCTAAGTTACCCCATCCCCTCATGGGTAAATGTCCAGCGAAACAGGGTTAGCCCAAAGCAGGGCCACTGAGGCCCAAATGCCTGCCACAAGTCTAAAGAACCTTCTAGCAGGACCCACAAAGGGTCAGAAACAGCCAGACAAATCTGGAAGGAAAAGAGCAAAATCAAAATCAAGATAAAACTGCCATTGTTTACTTCCCCACAGGTCTCTCACCCACATGTCTTTCAACCAGCCCAAGGCCAAAAAGCAAGTGCATCTTCTTCACATGTCTCTCTGCTCCCTGTCACTCCTTTCAGGTCTCCTCTTGCACTCCATCCTTCTTTCTTCTCCAGTCTCCTCTCCAGCTTCTCCTCCTCCCTGCTCAGCTCTACCCTTCCTTGGGTGGGGTCCGGGACCTGGAACCCCCCCCCCTTTTCTGGGGGAGTTACAGTTTGAGATAACCTAATTACTTATAGGATGTGACTAGGTTGATTTTTTTAAAGAATTATTTTATTTATGCATACAAGAGCTGGGGTATAGGCCAGAGGTACAGGGGGTAAAATGATTCACCAGAGACAGTGTGGAGCAGAACAGGCAGACTGACTGAAATGCACTGTTGAGGTGAGCAGCGGGTGTGACAGGAGAGGTCTGCTGCACCATGTGGATCGACTCCCTGGCTTGGGATCGAACTCGTGCTGCAGTGGCTGCTGATAGCTTCATAGCACTGAGACTTAACCCCTTGGTTCACCAGGGAGGCCCGTGACTAGGTTGATTTGTGAGGTATCAGTGATTCTCTGCAATGGCCTCCATCTTCATATCCCCACCTCTCTGCTGCAAGGGACCTTGGTGATACTCTCCACAGCAGTCTGATACTTGATCTAGAAGTTGGCACCTAAGGATTTTTAATTTCTGTAGCTGGATTAATGGCTATGTTAATCCCTTTCATTCTCACCTCCTTTGTGTGAGCCAGACCCTGGTCTTATGCTGCCTCCTTTCCAACTTATCTACTCTTAACTTTCATCAGTTTTTGGAGCATGATGCTTGGCCCTTCTCAGATTGGCTGGCAAATCTAATAAAAGCGCATATTAAGGATTCAACCCCTGTCCTTTGCCATTTTTGGCTTTGTTGGCATGTAGCAGACAAAGACGACGAAATTTCCTGGCAACAGGAATTTTGGTGAAGGATATAGGGAACATCAGGATGAAGATGACTGTGCTCTTTCACAGTCAATCACTCCTGCCTCCTGGGTTAATAAATATCTTATAGAGGTGCTCAGCATCACTTTGAACAATTCCTAGATCCGGAGGGGCCAGTCCCCTCTTTGCTATGCATTTTTACTTAACCCCGGAGGAGGGAATTGTTACAGCTGGCTTCATTTATCTTGGAGCAGAGTCCTCACCAGCCATCTTCCTGCTTTCCTGCTTTCCCGGGTGGCTGAGAACAGGCTGGCTCCACCTCCTAGGTGCCTTTCACAATAGCACCCCAGAGTAGGGAAACCGGTGAGGTCACTTTCCTAGGGTGTACGTGTCAGGAGCACAAACTTTTATGGACTTCTGAACCCCATCTAGGGCATTTCAAACTAAAAGTTATGCAAAAATCCAGGAGTGAGAAAATGCTAGGCATGGCCATGGAGCAGGTAAGAAGCTAACAGCTGATAGAAGGGTGTAGGTGAGACGGAAGACAGAATGAAAAGACATCCTGGGCTGGCTCTTGATTGCGAAAGGTCTCATACACAAAGTAGTTTGATTTTTTTTTCCTCTTATAGTCATTGGGGAGCAGTTGAAGGTCATGCTGTGTTTGTAAGGTTTACAGTTTCAATAAAGAAGCTGTTTTTCTTTTATTTGCAGATACTTTGTCAACATTTAGGAAATACTGCCATCAAGTGGCTGTGGGCTGATGCATTCTCCAAGCTGTAAGTTACAGAATTTTCTATATTGTTCAATAATTAATTCAAAGATAACATCTCTTGATTCAAGCAGCTGAAGTAAAGCAACGGTAACCTTAATCCTAATGTTAAAAAAACATATTTATAAAATTCTTCAAGAAATCAATACCTGGGCTCAATTCTCTGGCTTCTTGCTTTGTTTTTAAAAGTCTGACTTAAATCTTCAGGGATTCTGATCACAAGGATCCTTTCTATTCTCAGGTCTTAGAATCATAAACTCTCCGACCCTGCAAAAGTTCTGCTATTTTCAGGAAGGTTTGGCATCAATCGCTTCAGTCCATTCCCCTTAACTGTGGCAAAGGGACCTGTGGCAACAACTTCAATCCTAGGTCCTTTTTTCTGGTATGGTCCTGCAGTTGGATAGACCCCAAATCAAGTGCTTCCACCATTTTTAAAAGCAGTTCGATTTTAGGCAACTCGCTTAAAACGTAGTTATTTCATCTACAAAATGGAGATGACACCTTCTTAGGGTTATTGTGAAGGTGAAAAGAGGACGGGAGTAAGGAGTGCCTGGCATATACAGTTCCATTACAAGGGAGCCCTCTTCCTGGCTGTAATAGTAATTCCTTCCCCATAACAAGGGAGTCCTCTTCCTTGCTGTAATAATACGTCCTTGAGGGCATATTATTGATGAGCAGGGAGCGACTACTCAGTGGAGGTCTGTGATTTGAGATCCGATATTTTCCGGGTCCTCCGGGGCACAAACTACTCTTGCCCTCAGGCTTCGGGGGACCACCCCTATTTTCGTACCTCGCCTCCAGACCTCGGCCTTGGCGGGGGTTGCCCTTGCTCGCCTCCTCCTCGAGCCCGGGCGGCAGGTGCGTGGGCGTGAGCCTAGCGGGGTGGGGCTGCATTCATTCCTCGCCGCTCCCTTCCTGGGGGCTGGGGGTGTTTAATTCAATCCCCGTGGGACTAAGCTTCTGGCCTCACCCGCCGCTCGACGGATTGGCTGTCGCATTCCGCCCCCGCCCTCCGTACCCCCAGCCTCCCAGGTGGCTCAGGCCCCCTGTGGTGATCTCTGTTTACGGAGAGAGCCCGTCCAAGTTGGGCTCCATCTCCGCACTCGCTCCCCACTGGGGCCCCGCCCGCCGGGGAAGCGGGGCGAACACCCGGCCGAGCCTTTCCTCGCCCTTCCCCTCCCCCACCGCCCGGAGAGGTCGGGTAAGGGGGCAGGGGCGTTTGGGAGGGGGAACCCCCGTACTTCGCGCGGATCCGAGGCCCGGCGCCGGCTCCCGCCCCCCCCCCGCCCTCTCTTGCTCAAGGTGACGTGCCCACCTTGACCAGGCAGCCAGAGCTGGAGCTCAGGGATGCCAGGTCCCTAGAGGAGGCACAGACGTGGAGACTTCACTCACAGGTGTTCCCCTCCCCAGATGGCGATGACCCCCAAGCCGGCCGGACCCCCGGACGGGGGCTGGGGCTGGGTGGTGGCGGCCGCAGCCTTCGCGGTGAACGGGCTCTCCTACGGGCTGTTACGCTCCCTGGGCCTTGTCCTGCCTGACCTCGCGGAGCATTTTGACCGAAACGCTCAGGACACTGCGTGGGTCAGCGCCCTGGCCCTGGCCGTGCAGCAGGCAGCCAGTGAGGGGGCGCCCGCGGCGGGAGGCAGGAGCGGGGGTGGAGGGGCCGCGAGTGTAGAGGTCGGGTCCCCGCCCGAGGATCGGACAACCTGAGCACGGCCATCGGGAAAACTGGTCGTGGATGTCAAGGGGAGGCGCCTTTAGGCTGGAGGAGGAATGTCAGGCCAGGAAAACAGCCAATGAGAAGTGCTGGCGCGAGTTCGGGGGTCCAGGGGCGTGTCTTGCGTTGACTCCGGCCCCTTCTAGGCCCAGTGGGCAGCGCCCTGAGCACCCGCTGGGGGGCGCGCCCGGTGGTGATGGCTGGGGGCGTCCTCACGTCCGTGGGCTTCGTCTTCTCGGCTTTCGCCGGCAGTCTCCTGCACCTCTACCTGGGCCTGGGCCTCCTTGCTGGTGAGGGGACAGGGACGCCGGGCCCTGGCGGGGGCGATGGTGGAGAGAGCAGCTTGTCGGGGCTGGAGGCCAAAGGGTGCGGAGGCGCGTGCGAGGAGCGGGGCTGGGGTTGTTGGGGCCGGCGCTCACGTCCCTGGCTTCACCCAGTCCTCTCCTTTCGCAGGCTGCGGCTGGGCCCTCGTGTTCGCCCCTGCCCTCGGTACCCTCTCCCGTTACTTCTCCCGCCGTCGAGTCCTGGCCGTGGGGCTGGCACTCACTGGCAACGGGGCTTCCTCGCTGCTCCTAGCGCCCACTTTGCAGCTCCTCCTTGATACTTTCGGCTGGCGGGGCGCCCTGCTCCTCCTTGGCGCCATCACCCTCCACCTCACCCCCTGTGGCGCCCTGTTGCGTCCCTTGGCGCTCCTTGGCGACCCCCCGGCCCCGCCCCGCGGACCCCTCGCTGCCCTTGGCCTGGGCCTCTTCACACGCCGGGCCTTCTTAGTTTTTGCTCTGGGCACGGCCCTGGTGGGGGGCGGGTACTTCATCCCTTACGTGCACTTGGCTCCTCACGCTTTAGACCGGGGCTTGGCGGGGTACGGAGCAGCGTTGGTGGTGGCAGTGGCTGCGGTGGGGGATGCGGGAGCTCGGCTGGTCTGCGGGTGGCTGGCAGACCAAGGCTGGGTGCCCCTCCCGCGGCTGCTGGCGGTCTTCGGGGCTCTGACAGGGCTGGGGCTGCTGGCGGTGGGACTGGTGCCCGCTGTGGGGAGCCCCGAGGGCTGGGGGGGCCCCCTGTTGGCCGCGGCTGGGGCCTACGGACTGAGCGCTGGAAGTTATGCCCCGCTGGTTTTCGGCGTGCTCCCGGGGCTAGTGGGCATCGGAGGTGTCGTACAAGCCACCGGGCTGGTGATGATGCTGATGAGCCTCGGGGGGCTTCTAGGACCTCCCCTGTCAGGTAAGGGTTAGACCCAACAGATCTACTGGCAACTGCCCTCTGCCCCTAGTGTCCAAGCCCTCTAAATTCCTCTACCCTTCCTCTCAGGCTTCCTGCGGGATGAGACAGGAGACTTCACGGCCTCCTTCCTCGTGTGCAGCTCTTTCATCCTTACTGGCAGCTTCGTCTATATGGGGCTGCCCACGGCGCTGCCCTCCTGCCGTCCAGCCTCCCGCCCAGGCACCCCTCCCCCTGAGAGAGGGGAGCTGCTCCCTGTTCCTCAGGTTGCCCTTCTCACCCCAGGAGGCCCTCAGCCTACTCCAGACACCACCTGTTGACCATTTTCTTGTTGGAGTCCCTCCTCCAATAAAGAATTTCTATCTGGTTTTCCTGCAAGTTCCAATTGTTAGTCAACCTAGTATGCTAAAAACATTCTACTTAAGAGAGCCAAAAGGCTGCTTGAAAGGAACAGGATCCCACTAGGCTTTGGGGGGAGGTGGGGTGTCTGTCCAACCAATCCATTACTCTTTGCCTGACTTGTCATCACAACCTGGAATCTTTGAGAAGTTGTCTGCCTGTCAGTTGAAGTTTGTTGCTGGGGTTGGGGTGGGGCACTGTGGGTGCCTGTTCCCCACCCTCATTTCCCTCACCTGAGCATCCAGATCACCCAAATAACTCTTTCCAGCATTTTGCTTATTCAGCTGGCTGGAGGGGAATACAAATATCCTAGACCCACACTTCAGCTATGTCAACTTTAGCTCCCCTTGCCCAAACTAGGCACCATTCTTGTGATTTCTTTTCTAAGTCACAGGGCATAGTAGGAAAGAGAGAGGTTAGTGGACAAGTGGGAGGAAATGTGGTCCAGAGAATAGACTCAGGCTTCAAATGACCCCATTTTGTCAACCCAAGCATATGGGCCCCAGCTCTTTTTGAGGTTCTGAGTACTGTCCAGTTTTCTTATTCAGCTTTATCTCAAAGGGGCATCCCTCTTTCCCAAACATCTGTCTTCAGAGAAGAAACTCAGCAGGCAACACTGAAGATCGTATGTAAAACATGAGAAGTCTCTTGGCCTTTGATTTTCATGATTGATTCACAGCTCAGTGGAGCAAACTAAACTCCTGAATCCTTCAGAAGAGGTTGTGGCAACAAAGAAGAGATAGGAGCCCTCAACAAAATACCAAGGGTTGGCATATACACTGCAGGAGCTCCAAGCCTGCTCTGGGGAGGCAGATCAAGATGCTTAAGGCACTGTGGTTTCATGGGCACTAAGATGCAGTAGGAGTAGAAGACGTAGAGCTGCTAAACTCTGGCCTTCTTGGTCAGACTGCCCCTTCTTGGAGTTCAGTCCTCTCCCGGCCCTTCCTTGGGCAAGGGGACTTTGGTATCCAGTGCATCCGTTACAAGATTCTGGGGTTTGGAGGTAGGAGCTGAGAAGCAGAAGAAGTGGGGCAGGGTGATGAGAACTCCACTCCCTGCAAGAAGAAAGGCCCCAGCCACTACAAAAGAAGCGGTGTAGTTGCCTGTCACATCTCGGAGGTAGCCTAGATACAAGAAAAAAAAAAAATACCTGGGTGATGTTTGCCAGCACTATAAATCAGACATATTTTTGGTTGGAGGGATCAAAATAATCTATAACCCATCATCTTGGAAGAATTGAGTGCCAAGGTAGGATGGTGCCAAGGATGGTGAGCTTGAGAACTCTGGTTTCCAAAGAGACCTCCAAAGGTCATCTCAATCACCTTCCTGCCTTCAGAAAGGACCTCCAAACCAGCCAGTGAAGATCTGAGGATCCAGATAGTGTCTTTTCGGCAACTGTGGCCTTCCTGCCTACATCTTCAGTTAATAGTTAAGAGGGAAATGTTAAGGATTTGAAAGTCTGGCATCCAGAACTGGGAGAACTTTGACCAGATGACTCAGACACCAGGGTTACGGGCCCCGACGGCCAAGGGAAAAGGTAGACACTGGCATGCTGGTCTGGTTGGGTCCTCTGAAAACCCAAGCTGTGGGTACCCTGCTGAGGGTAGGAAGCTTCTCAGTCTTTCTGGTGTGTGCCAGTTTCTTCCTGCCTTGGACTCGTTTTGAGGCTGCTATGATTGGCCGTGCTGGCCCTGCAGTGTACTGAACCACAGGACAATATTTACATATAATGTGAATAGTCCCCTCCCCTGCAGCCCAGACCCACAGAGAAACTCTGTTCCCCTTACCTGACAGAGGAGCCCCCAGCAGCCCCCCGATGCTCTCTACCATCTGTACCAGTCCCAGGCCACAGTATATCCTTCCAGTCCCCACCAGTTCAGGCAGCACGGAGAAGGCCACTGGGGTCAGGGCCCCTGATGCGAAGCCATAAGCCACAGCCAGAGTCACCAGAGCTGTGGGAGCCTGAGCCACAGAGAACAGGGCTAGTGACACCCCAGTCAGGGTGGTCCAGAACATCAAAAGACGTGCCACCGGCCCTGGGATGGCATCCCCTAGCCACCCGGAGACCACACGCCCCACGAGGTCAGAAATAGCAGCCACCGAGAGTACAGAGGCAGCAGACAGTGGGTTCCAATCCAGGTCCCGGAGATGAGCCACCAGGTGCACATAGGGAATAAAATAGCCAGTGTTGATCAGGGTGAGGGCCACAGTGTAACGGAGAAAGGGGCCATGATGGAGGAGGGAGATGAGTTGGGCCCCAGGGCCACCCACAGCAGGGTCCTCAGTCAGGGAGAGTGGGCGGAGGAGAGCACCACAAGCCACCAGGTGGAGGGAGAGGGCAGACACCAACAATAGGGCCCCCCGCCAGGCATAGTGGTTGAGCAGCCATTGGAAAAGTGGGGCAAAGGCAAAAGAGGAGAGGCCCACTCCTGTCAGTGCCAGCCCCGTGGCCAGGGATCGCCGGCGAGAGAAGTAACGGGAAAGGCAGGCGATCGTCGGAGTGAAGGTCAAGGCCCAGCCAGAGCCTGTCAAAAAGGAAGAAATGGGGGTTGGGGACTCAGTGCGCTCAGGCAACTTGGTAACCCCAACGCTGCAACAGAATGTAGCACAGATCAGGGTTACAATCCTAGCTTTGACCTTGTATATTTTACTTAATCTCCCAGCCTCAATCTCATCTGCAAAATGAGGGGGCATGGTAATATGCCTTATGAGACTTGCAGGCTTAAAGGTAATGTTTGCAAAATAAGCAGCACAGAACTTTAAGGTTAGACCTGGGCTCTACCATTTCTGGCCAAGCTGCATAAACGTCTAAAGTCCCTTCCCCTATAAACTGGATAATGTTATGTACTTCACAGGCATAATTACCTGTCTCCATTTTATAGTAATTCTTGCTTTTACACTCCAGTCCCACTATCCCCAGGCTTGCAATTTTCTAATTTCCCCACCATGTTTATCAGTTTAAGCATTCCTCTTGAGAATTCCCTTCAAGGCCCAAAGTTTCTCTCAGCTTGTCTATGTCTTCTGGAAAGAGCAGGAAGAAGGTGAACGTCCAGAAGCCAAAGACAAGTATTGGACTTTCCTGCCGTAGCCCGGCTTCTCACCTGAGAGCAGCCCAATACTCAGGTATAGGTGAGTTAAGGAAGTGGCAAAGGAGGCGAGCAGCATCCCCAGAGCAGCCAAGATGCCTCCGATCATCACCACGGGCCTTGGCCCGAACTTTGTGCTCAGGGCACTGCCCACTGGGCCTGGGTAGGAAGAAGGAAGGAAGTTTTGCGTAAAGATCTTAGGCGTCCTTCTCCAGCACCTCCCTTCCCATTTACTATCTCAGCACCCCCGCCCCCTTCCGAGGGTCGCAGGATGCCAGACCCAGCGCGGCACTCACTCCCAAACTGCTGCACCGCGATTCCTATGGAGGTGATCCAGGAGACGCGTGCTGCTGGTTCCTCAAACGCCGCCACGAACTCCACAAAGAAGACCCCGAAGGAACGCAGTACCCCGAACACCAGCGCCGACTGGAAGAAAGCCGAGAGAACCACCATCCAGCCCCAGCCCCCGTCTGGGGGCCCGGCCCTGTGCGCCATCCGAGAGGCAACAGGGCTGCCGCTACCGAGAGTCCCCGCGGGCGCAGGACTTAGGACGCTCCACCTTTGCCCACCCTCTCCGCTCCGGCCCGCGGGGGAGGAGAGGCTGGTGGAGAGGAAGGTACCGACGAGGGCTTCAAAGCTGCAGAGAGCTGCTTGAGGTGCCTGCGCTTCTCCCCTCGGGGGGCCACGGAGGTGGGGAGACCGGGCCTAGAAGCCCGGATTTCAGCGCACGGGGGCGTGGCCCCGCTGGTCAGGAGTCGCGGCCCGGGCGCACGGAGCGTGGCCTGGAGCCAACCATCGGTCTAGGAATGGGGGGCGGTACTGGGCTTGGACCCCACCCCCAGGCATGCCAGTCTCCGCGGGGATTCTCTTGCATTGGAAGTATCTGCACCTGCCCTGGTCAACGTTCCTGTTCGTAACTCGCCAATGAGAACGCGGGATTCCTTAGGGGGCGGGGCCAGAGGGGTAGGGCGGGGCTTAGAGCCCAGCGCGGAACCTGCGGTGAGTAGGGCGCATGCGCAAGGAGGAGACTTTAGGCGGCTGACAGACCCTCGCCACGTGACTCGGGAACCTAGCGGGAGGCGGCCCCGTTTCAGGTCCGACTCGCGGGTCCTTTCGTCCAGATTTCAGCACCCAGTCCCGCGCGTAAGGAGTGCAGCATGGGGGGCGGGGGTGGGTGGGTGCGTAAACCGTTTCAGGAGGGGAAAACACTAACTTGCTCCGCGAGAGGCCCAGGAGTTACAAGACCAGGTGGGGGCGAGAGGAGCGTCCAAAGGAGACTCAAGCGAAATACCTGATTCGAGCGCAGGAGGCCGCTAACACACCAGAATCTGGATGCCTGATCCCTGAGGGGTTCGGAGGCCAAGGAAAGAGACTAGGGGAATAGGTTGTTGAACTCCTAGCGTTCATTTCTGTAATGAGAACTTGTTCCTGTCGCTTCTGTGCCTTCCAACAGGAAACCTACAGGTCACAGAAACCAAAAATAACTGGGGAGGAGAAGGGCGGCTGAGAACTTACTCAGGACCCCAACAGCACCACCTACCTGTCTTTCTTCAGTGAGGCAGGAATCGTCTCTGCCCTCTGGCACAACCACTTTCTAACCACTTGAAGGGATGAACTAAATAAACAAACCATGACCACCGGAGCCATCAGCCCCCAGCCACTATCCATTCCCTCCATCTTGGCTTTCTGTTTCTTCATAATAATTGAAGGTCCTCAGGACTCTGATCTTGAAACCTTGGGCTGGGAGTTCATACCCAGATCAGTGGGAAAAAAGCATCGTAGAAAAGGTGGAAAGCTTATGTACTTTTTAAAGGCACACCGAACCTTATAATTTTATATGCGGGAAATAAAAATAAGCATATATTTTTAAAAAAATATGTGTAAGTGAAGTTAAAACTTCGGCTAGTGGAGAATATGCCAAAGATGCAGAAATTGGTTTGGTTGTATAATATAGTGATTAAGAGCTCAGACTTTATTTTTTTAAAGATTTTTATTTATGCATACAAGAAGTGGGGTGTAGGCTAGAGGTGTGTGGGGTGGGAGGGGGCGAGAGGATTCACCAAAGACAGAGTGGGGAGCAGAAAAGGCAGATCTACTGAAATACACTGCTGAGGGGAGCAGGGGGAAAGAGGAGAGGTCTGCTGCGCCATGTGGGTCAGCTCCCTGGCCGGGGATCGAACTCATGCCACAGTAGCTGGTGATAGCTTGAGAGTGCTGAGACTTTAACCCCTGCCCCACCAGGGAGGCCCAAGAGCCCAGACTTTAGAATCAAATCACAGTTCCAATCTTAGCATCGTTACTTACTAACTTGGTCAAGATCATCTTGGGTCCCTATCTGTAAACTGGGGGGTAATAATAGTATCTACCAGCTTTTAGGGTTATCAGGGGAGTTGAATTGAAAAATCTATGTGCTAAAATGCTTAATTTATGGCCTGACCTTCACAGGAGATAATGTTAGCTGGCCTTATTTTTAACAGGGGAGAATAAACTGTAGTGGGGGGGGCAGTGAAAGAAAGCTTTATTTAGTTTCTTTGTTTTACCTTTTGCCTTAAAAAAAATCTAATCGAGATCATGGGTTTTAAAAGACTGAGAAATATAACTACAAACTGTAAACGTTGGAAAGAACTGCAGAGACCTTGTTAATGGATTTATTTCACAGATGAGGAAATCCAAAAGGGAGGTAACATCAGAATTAGTGACCATCTACCCCCTGCCCCTGGGCTAAGCTATGCACCCAGGACACACAGGGTAGGGAAAAGAGTGGGGTGGAAGCAAGCACTGTGCACTAGGTAGATTCCAAGACACCACTGCTGGGGAAGGGATGTGGAAGCCTATTGGCTCCAACTGCACAGCCTTCCCAATGCCAGCTCTAGCATCTGTTGTCCTCACTGGACCCAAGTTCTATCGATTTTCCTTGGTGGTAGTCAGGGGTGTCCCAAGCATTAAGATCCCCAGCACAGATGCATCTTCCAGCCTCTGATGTTAGTGGCTTCCTGGTTTCTCCCTGCCGCCTCCACACCTCAGGCAGGAAGTGACTTCAGAGCAGCAGGATGCAGGTGGCTCCGGAGAAACTTCATGAAGTCACTGGTTCCTACACAATGAGCCGGAAGGCAAGGGCAGGGACTGGGAGAACAAGGGCCATTTAAAATGTCTGCTGGGATGGGTGGTGGAATTGGCCCAGAATCCACATGGTATCCAGGAGGGAAGAACCCTTCTTTCTCCCACCCCCTGGCATACCTCAGTCCCTAGATCTTCTCCAGGTAAGAACCCAGGACACATCAGACAATGTGAGGCTTCTTTATTCCAAAAATCTGATCTTGCAAGATCTAACATCTCCACCCCTAAGCACTCTCCACCTGCCCATCCAATCTGCTAAATAAAAATCATAGTTCATTCTGTTTTCTCTTTCTTCTTCAATTCTATAGTGGGGAGTAAGAGGGAAAGAAGGAGACGAGTAGCTTTCATACCAGTCCCCAAGTGACATCACTAATACTGACCCATCTTGAGAAAGTTCCACCCCACAAAATCAAAGTGCTTCTTATCTTCTACCCCCAGCTTGTTATCCAACAGGCCCCAGGACAACTGGGGCAGGATTATAAATCAAGGATTAGAACATCATCTCACATTTCAGACATTCCATCCAGCTAAGAGGCAACTCCATTCCTAATTTTCTACCTACTTGGCCTATACCAGAGACTGTGCCCCTCAAACAATCTCTTAATCCTACCTGGATACCTGGTCAACTAGAAGGCTCCTTCGGTCATCTGCCAATCACCTTTGAAATCTTCTAAGGCTATAATCCCAAACTACAGCAAACCCAGAATGGAACTCAGCTCCTTTTCTCCCCCTGTGGAATGTTCTTGTGCACTCATTGGTTCCAAGCAGAGAAGTAATGAGAAGACCAGGTCACAGACCCATCTTTTCTAAGGTAAGCAAGTTACCCAGCACCAGTTCTACAGGCAAAGAAGTTTCTGGAATCTGGACACTTGCCAGAACATGTCCAAAAACCTACTAAAGGAAGTTTGTCTCAGGTAGATAGAGGATAGTAACCCAAGGAACATTTAAGCCCAGCCGCCTCTGCAGTAAAGGACAGGTCTTGTCTCTTTACTCTTTAGTCAAGATAAAGAGTTTCATAAGTCTCCCTTAGGTCATGACGTTCTTAGAGGCTGGGTAGAATCAAAAAAGGCTGCATCATCTCTGATACCTTAGATCCCTACACTCAAGGAGGGATCATTTCAATGCCAAGACCAATGGGAGGATTATGGGTTTATCTCAAGCCCCTGAATGGACTCTTTCAAGATAGATGGACACGGAGGAGCCAAACCTAGGTCACCAGACTAATGGGACTACACTGGACTGCCTTGCAGGAGAGACTGCCAGCCTCCACTTAGAGTGATGCACATCCACACTGGCACTCCCCTGCGCTCCAGGAGGCATTTTTACCTCCATTTCAGGCTCACCATAAAAGTTCCTATGACACTTGAAGAAGAGGGGAAAAATCTACATCCAGTTCTAGCCTGCTAGAGAACTTACAATACCCACAACACCAGAGAGGGTTCCTGACCCAGTCTCAAACCCATGTGTTCCCAGAGCTGCCCTAAAAACAAATAAAGGTTCCAGACCTAGAATTGGAGGGGCAAGAAAGAGAACCCCTTTCTCCATTTTAAACAAACCAACAAGCAAACAAATAGAAGAACAATTCTAAAGAGAAAAGTTATGACAATAATAATAAAAAGCACTCAAGCCTAAGGAGACAGCCAAGTGCTAGTCTCTGCCAGCAGAGCTGTGACCACACGGTCTGTGTTCAGGTCACTTCTATCACACTCATGAAAGAAGAGGGCAATGCAATAGAATGAAGGTCCTGGTGCCACCCAAAGACCTAAATAAATTATATTTACAGATATCTGAGTGAGTGGAGGGCTGTTTCCTTAAGGAAACAAAGCCTCCAGCCTGTCCCCTCTCCCAACCTCTAGCTTGCTCTCCTCAGAAATAATTTTGATTGTGGGGAAGAGGTTTTGACCAGCAAAACAGAGGCAGATTAGGCCGGCATCTGCCACCCCTGCTCTCCCCAGTGAGAAATTAAAGTGGTGGCAGTTTCTGATGGGAGCAGGGCTCTTGCACACCCCCATGCCCAAGCCTGACAGGGAAGCCAGGTCTGAGTCTGCAGCTTTCGTCCCTCCAGGAAGCAAGTGGGTCTGGGCGGGCACTCAGCTAGGGTCCCCCCAGAATGTGGTAGTGCACTTTGGTGTTGGTGGTAGCTCCGTGTTTCTGGCGCAGATGCAGCCGCAGTTGACTTTTGTGCCGGAAATGCAGGCCACAGGGGTCGCACTGTGGGAGGACAGCCGGGTTAGGTTCCCTCCGCATTCACAACCACCTTTCAGGAGTGGATCAAAGGCGAATTGCCTAGCTCTCCGCCAAAGACAAGCCCTTTAGTCCTCACGTGCTCTCAAATCCTCAGGGGGACACCAAGGAGCCAGGTACAGCCCTCTTCAGCAAAGGTTTTTCCATCGGTTAGCCCCTCCCCAGCATAGTGCCCAGTCGAGGACTCTAAGGCTACACCTGCCCCTCCCTATACCCCACCCCACCTTATTCACACGGACTCTTCCAGATCACTGCCCATTTCGAAAAGATCTATAGACCGTCAGGCCAGCTGCTAGATAAACGGGAGGTAATTCTAAGCTTTAGGCCAGGCAGTCGGGCACTTACGTGGTAAGGCTTCTCTCCCGTGTGGATGCGAACATGGCTCTTGAGCGTCTGTAGGTGGCGGAAGCGAGTCCCGCAGGTGGGGCAAG